TGCTAAATAACTTATGTTTTGATTAATTTTTTTGGGATGCGTTCGCATTAAGTAAAATATTGTTTTAAGGGCCTAATAATGGAAAATATATTATTTTTATATTAGATATGTAAAATATAGACTACGTGCACAATATTTCATACTAATGGTATTGCATATAAACAATTTTAAATTGTGCTCCTTAGTTTCAAATTCTCTGGAATGGCTGCATAGTAGAAGTTATATTAAAAAAACTGATATGATGAGTAACACTTTATCACCCTGTATCTTTTAAACATACGTGATTAGGAAAAATATTTATTTAGATTTTCGTCTTATTTTGACTTGCTTAATCTGCTCCTAAATTTATGCCACTATGTTTAGGGACACCTTGTATATTAGGGTGGAGTGAATTTTTTTAATTTTTTAATTGATTTTTCCTGCATTATTAATTGTTGACTAAAGGCGTAAAATGAAAAAATATCAAAAAAAATCCTATTTTTAATATCTTGAGGTGGCGCATCAATCTCGAAGTTTTGAAAATTCTAAAAAAATATGAATTCAATCAAAGTAATAAAAATAGCATTATTAATAAATAAAAAGTTTATTTTAGTAAAATTAACGTAAACGTATTTAATAGTAAATCATAAGCTTTAAGTAACTTCAGGAGTGTTTATTGGTAGAAATAAGATCTTCTTTTTCGCGAAAATATCGACATTTGGTATCAAAATTTGGTAATTCTTTTCTGGCTTTAATTCTTGTTCTGATGAAACCATCTCTTGCTTCCGATCCACAAACCGAGATTGAAGATTCAGAATACTGGTTATAACCAGTTTTACACAGAGTTTCACTGCTTGGGTGTAACAAGGAAATTTTTGGAAGTATAGGAAATGGTCACCCGAAGAAATCATATCGGTAATTTCTGTCATCATATTTCATAGTCATAGGTGGTTCAGTTCTGATCAATAGATATCTTGTAGGTAACATAGCAAGTAATAGGTTTTCGGGATATATATTTCGCTGAATATTCTTTATAACTATAGTTATAAGACCTTCAAGTTTTTCTGGAGGTGTAATGCTCTTTTAGTCATATTATATATCAGTGGATAAAAGGCATAAGGGGATAAGTCAAAAAACGCAATTTTTCGGTAGAGACTTAAACGTGTTCGCATTTATTTAGGAAATATATTTATGGTTAGCGAGTATACCCTTTTGCTAGCATATGACATGTGCTGGCAAAAGGGTATACCCGCTAACCATAAATGTATTTCCTAAATTAATGCGAACACATTTAAGGCACTGCTAAAAAAATCATATTTTTGACTTATCCCCTTATGCCTTTTACCCACAGATATGTGAATAGAACCATGTTTGCACGTAGGCTTGGTTTTGATGTAAAACCACGTTGGGCATACACTTTCATGATAAAAGTAGCTAATTCTTTTAGGTTTGCCGATGGATTTGCTGTCCCCATATATAAACGAATAATCCTATTGGCACACGTCAGCCATAGGGAATGTGCTAGCTTTCCTGGATCTTTGTTAGCTATAGCTAACAAAGATCCTTATAAGGAAGTGGCAAAATGCACTATTTCATAGTTCAGGCACTTCTCCAGTTCTTTACCAATAACACCTGAAAAACTTTTCGGCCCTGTTGTTGTACCATTGAAGCATGTGAAGTAAACAAACAAACCACTGTAGAGGGTGACCAAGTTATTTTTCCAGTAAAACGATGACAAACGATGTCCTCTATTTACCACGGTACCATCACATCCTATTGCAACCAAATTTTAAAAGCACATTTGCACGAATTCTTTGAATTGCATTTACAAGTAGCAATATCAAATAATTTTTTGGACTCGTCGCAGAATAACTTCTTTTTTACATCATTGCGCATTAGGGTGGGTCGAAAAAAGAATTTTTTTGAGTATCGAATTCTAATAGTGCGGAAAAGGTGCGTCTTTACATGCCAATTAATGTAAAAATAATTTAAAAAATCATACTTTGAATATTCAGTTCGCGCAAAGGGCCTAAAGTTTGGAAGAAATGAGGAAAAACATCAAATTTTACATTTACGCTCAAAATATAGGGGTAAACTTTTTTGGCTTCTAATAGCATCTAAGTACTTTGTATTAGTTGTTTGCTGACAGAAATATTATATTTAAAAACTGCGCAACTCTTTAAGTTTGCGCAAAAGGCCTAAAATTAAGTTAAAAATTAGGGTTTCTATCATATACAAATACACGCATTGTTGGACTTTTTGAGTTCGCGCGTACGTATACGTATAAACTTAGTGAGTGGGAGGGGATGATCTCGCTTTTGTTTTTGTTGTCGGCAGTTTTGGCCAGTAGCTGTTTGGCGTGAAGCGTTATAACACCTCGTTGCAGCGCTGTTCTAATAAATAATAATTATATTTCAGATTTGTTTGACAGTGTTAGTGGTTAAATATAAGATGTTGACTCAGCAAAAGGTGACAAGACAGATGCACTGTTGTCCAATATTTGGTTTGCCTAAAAAACTAAGCGGAACAAACCTACCGACATATAAGGACGTATTACTAAGTTGCTTTGAAGAAAGCTATAAAAATTCAATCCTATCGGGTTCAAAGAAAAAAGTAGCATTTTCTACAATAGCCGATAATGTTGCTACTCAAATAGAAATAATATACCGTAAAGCCTCCATTCCAGTAGTAACTCATACTCGGGTTGTGCAAATGATAAACGCCTACCATAATGCATATTATAATTTAAGAAAATCATATAAGCGAGACCAGAAAAAAGAGGGCTTTAAAAACAAAATAGAGCGATTCGTGGCTGAAGCAAAATCAAAGTTATTTGATATTGCAGCGTGTAAGTGTGCTATGACATATTCTTGTGTATGTGGTTATGGAATGTTATTGTGAAAAAGACATTAAGATCCCTCCTCTAGAGAAAAGGTTTATGTACGATCAGCGTACAACTAGGATTGCCGTCATAGGTGGTCTAGATAAAAAAGAAACAGAGAAACTTCAAAAAAGAGCGGAAAGAAAGCAATTACAGTTGTTGCGTAAACCTGTTCTGGTTAATAACGCGCGAAATTAGGACTGTATTTGATTTGTCTTCAGTACCTTCTACATCTCAAATGAGGTTGAATTTAACCTCTACGGCTTTAGTAAGTGATAGATTTGGTATTTCTGACAGAGCTACTGCAGCTACAGCATCCAGTGTTTTGCATGATGTTGGAATAATTTCTGAAGAAGATACATCACAAATAATAGATAAAAGCAAAATACGAAGACAAAAGCAGAAGATACGACAGGCTATACGACAAGACGCGTCTATAGTAACAAAGGGATTATACTTTGATGGTAGAAAAGATAATACTATCTATCAACAAAAAATAGGGGCGAAACTATACCGAAGAGTTAAGAAAGAGGAACACATTAGCCTGATTCGTGAACCTGGTGGCCAATATGTCAGTCATGTCACACCCTCCAGTGCAACCGGTAGTGAATGTTTCTGATTTTTATCAATGATTTACCTTCAAAATTAAACTGTATGAAGTTGTTATATGCTGATGACCTCAAGATATTCTCCCGAATCAATAGTGAGGCTGACTGTACCCAACTTCAGAATGACCTAAATGTCTTAGGCCAATGGTGTAAAGTGAATAGATTGACTTTGAATATTTCAAAATGTAAAATAAGTAGATACACCAAAAAGGTCAATCCAGTGATTTTTAATTATAAATTATATGGCGTCGATTTGGAGTCAGTCAGTCTTATGAAAGATAAGAAACAGTTTTACAAACCCTGAGAGTCTTAAATTGTTGTTTTTTACTTTGGTGCGTAGCAAGTTGGAGTATGCCTCAGTTATATGGTCGCAAATTTACTTGTGTCACACTCAATCCATTGAGGCAGTACAGCGAAAATTTTTGAAATTTTTATGTTTTAAAACGTCAGGATTCTACCCACCTCAGGGTTTTGATCATTCTGTTTTGCTTGACAATTTTAATTTTGAATCTTTGGGAACAAGAAGAGATAAAATCTGCACTACATTTTTGTTTAAGCTAATTCATAATTTTGTAGACTGTGCTGACTTATTGGGACAATTAAACTTTTTTGTACCGAGACCTTATAGTAGGCAAGCGTCTGTATTTCAATGTCCAAAGGCACGTACTAACATTTTATTGATATCACCCATATACCCATATACCCATATAATATGTCTCGAACTTTTAACAAAGTGGCAAATCTATGTGATATAAATTAGTCTAGTATTAGGGATATATTAAAATGTTTTTAATTATATATACACACCTCTTGTTTGTTCATACTCAATACTGTTTTGTTTATTTATTTACTTATTTATTTATTAATCTTTACTTATGTATTTTTTCTTTTTTTTTGTATTCACATCTATACCATTATTGTAAATTCTTTATATTATTGAATTATTAGAATTAGAATGTCCTGTATTGTGAAAACTGTTGGGCAATAAATACCTTTATTATTATTATTATTATTATTATTAAATATATCATAAAGTACCTGCACGATAATGATATTGACATTAATGAACTGGAAGCGATCGGTTGTGATGGTACAGTAGTGAACACAGGATGGAAAAATGGTGTTATCCGTAATATAGAAGTTTAAATTCAGCGCCCATTGCAATGGTTTATTTGCTTACTTCACTTTAACGAGCTGCCATTCAGACATTTATTTCAATACTTAGACGGACAGACGACGGGACCAGCATCGTTCTCTGGAAAAATCGGCAAACTGCTGCATGACTGTGCGAAATTACCCCTTGCAAATTTCGAAGTAATTGAAATAGATGAAATTAACGTCAATAAAACTGATCTTAGTAAAGACCAACAGTACCTTCTGAATATTGTCAGAGCAATTCAAACAGGACAATGTTCTCCAGATCTGGCTGTAATCTCTTACCTGGACCTCTTAGTCACTCCCGATGGCTGACATGTGCAAACCGTGTCTTGCGGTTGTATATTTCCTAAACAAGTCCTACAAATGAACTTAAGATGCTGGTTAACTACATTGTTAAGACATATGCCCCTGTCTGGTTTGTAATTAAAAGATATCAGTCAGTGAAATATGGGCCGAAACATATCTTTAAGGTTGTTCAAACAACGAGATATTTGCCAGATGATATTAAAAAAATCATCGATCCTGTAATTCAGAGAAGTGCCTTTTTTTGTCACCCAGAGAACATGTTGTTGGCTATGATAGTCGATGAGAGAGAGCACATACGAGAGTTGGGTTACAGGAGAGTACTAAGGGCAAAAACTGAAATTCCGAAAGGGAAGTCTGTTAGAAACTTTGTAACTCCATTAATAAATTTTGATGCCACAGACTACACTGAGTAAGCTGTCGCCGCCTCCAATATTGGAAAGGTTAACAACCGAAACTATTTCCTCATTTCTAAAAGACAAAACTTTTTATAAATTTTCCACACCCAATCTGTGGAAAGATGCGTAAAGCTTGTCACGGAGTCTGCAGAAAAAGTGTGCGGAGAAGAAAACAGAGACGGATATATTAGAACAACGTTGCTCTCAAGATCAATAATGCCAAAGTTTGATCAAAAATCTGATTTTAAGGTAACCGCATTGGCTAAATCAACCTAATTTACCACAATCTTATAGGTTGGATGGTTGGGAAGGGTGTGGGTGGAACTCAAATTGCAGCCACCTCCTCGTGGTGAGTTCTGGGTCATTTCATACAAAAATGTGAAATGGGCGAAGAGCTGCAAAGTTATGCGATAATTTATAATTGAACATACCATAGTGCGTTTATTTGTAAGATGATAGAAACCTTAATTTTTTCCTTAATTTTAGGCCTTTTGCGGGAAGTCAAAGAGTTGCGCAAAGTTTTTAAATATAAGTTTTCTGTCATTAAACGACTAAAACGAAGTTTTTACATGCTTTTAGAAGCCAAAAAAGTTTACCCGTATATTTTGAGCGAAAATTTAAAATTTGATGTTTTTCCCCATTTTTTTCAAACTTTAGGCCCTTTGCGCGAAGATTCAAAGTATGATTTTTTGTATTATTTTTCCATTAATTAGCATGCAAAGACGCAACTTTTCCTCACTATTAGAATTAGATATTCGAAAAAATCCTTTTTTCGACCCACCCTATTGCGCATGCAAGTTTTTTCACGCCCTTGTACTTGTTGTAATATGATATCAACCTCGCCACAACTTGTTGATGGCTAACAATATGAATTGAAGTTTTATTTATTCCATATTTTCTCGATGACACAGGAAACAATTTTACACACATCTTTGATAGCATGGCCTTTCCCACCATTTAATTCAAACAAATAATTTCTGACCAACAAATAATATTTAATTATATCATTATATGTCGGCAACATGTTTTCAGAAATATTTTGTGGTTCACCTAATACAGGACATCGCCAATCTTTACGAGTTTTAGGCATTTTGCAACCGCTCGATTATTAGGTCGGTATACAAAAATTATTTATTAATATGTGCGAGTTAATTAAAATTATTACTTATTTTAAAAAAGGTTATTAAATCCGCTAAATTCAAATAATATACATAATTCGCAAAATTAAACAACAGTTGTTTGGAACTTGGTAAAAACATATGTATCAACAAAAAGTCCAACAAAAAATGATGCAAATAATATATTAAACATGGCAAATAATTATTTTACAATCCAAGCTTTTAAACCAAGACTTTTACCTTTACCCTTAAAACCTCCAAATAAGAATTATAATAAAAATAGCATATTTATGTTTACAGAGTCATTACATTTTTCAATAAACACAATATTATAAACGAAAGTCAAAAAGGTTTCAGGAACAAAAGATCTATTAGAGCAATCCATGATGCCTATGTTCCGTAGTTCACAAAATAGAGAGATATTATTATTATGACTGGATCTATCTAAAGCGTTTGATTTGGTGGACCATCAAATTATTTTAAGTAAGCTGAAAAACTACGGGATAGGGAAAATATCATTAAATATGTTTAAATCATATCTTAAAAATAGATATCAATGCGTGGGTGAAAGATATTCAAAAGGAAATAAAATCCGGTCTACATATCAAAAGGGGAGTACTACAGGGTTCTATACTGGGTCCTCTCTTGTACATTATTTATAAAAATGAGTTACCTAATGTACTCCCCAAAAACTCATTTAATTTGCAGATGATACTTGTCTTATTTTTATGACTAATTCCTTAAACATTGCTTCAAGCGAGGTCAAAAACCGTCTTATTTTGTTAATGGATATCAATGCGTAGGTGAAAATCTGGTCTGCCAGCTTGATTATTAAAAGAGGAGTACTACAGGGTTCTATACTGGGTCCTATATTATTTATACAAATAAGTTACCTAGTGTAGTGCCCCAAAAATTCATTTAATTTGCAGATTACCCTTCTCTTATTTTTACTACTAATGCCTTAAACACTGTGTCAATCGAGGTCAATTTTGTTAAACCAGTGGTGCAATCAAAACAAAATTAAACATTAAGATAACACAGCTTTTAATGTTTGAATTAAATTCCATTGATATTGAAAAATCTGTTAACATCCTGGGTATCCAAATTAATTGCAGACTCGATTGGAGGCAACACATTAAAAACTTCATGTTTAAAAAATGGCATTTAATATAAGTAAATATTGCTATGCTTTAGAAATCATATCTAACGTAATAAATGTAACAGCATTCAATTTATACGTTTTATCCAAAGTAAGGTATGGATTTAAATTTTGGATACATGTTCCGGATGTAAATATAATTCTTGTTTTAAAAAAAAAATCGTTTATTGTATTTTTATTTATGAATCCATATGAATAAAAATGTTTGGAAAATTTACTACTAGTCACGATTATAGTATTCGATTTAACAACAATTTAAATCTGATAAATTAAATAATGTCTACTTGCAAAAAAAAATTTCATACTTCATACTAAAAATGAATAATAGAATTGAAAATAAAAGATCTAAAAAAAACATTAAAAAAGACCTTAAAGTATATTTTAGTTAATAAATGTTACTATTCAATAGATGATTTTTTAGGGGTGACAATTTTAATTTTTCTGTGGCAAATTTATAATTATGTCTTACAGATCATTGTTTTTATCTTTAGTTTATTTATTAAATCTAATTTGAATTTTGTAATTTTTTATATTACTACTACCTGTGTTATAATAATAATTATATATAAATTTATTTTAACGTGTTCTACACCCAATGGTTGGTATTTATGTGTAATGTATTTTTTCTTTTGGCACTTAGTAAAGATTAATATTAATATTATTATAATTTTTGTCTTTTTAAATTTGGATCGATGAAGACCATGCTGTTTTCAATTGATTTGTTAAGGCAATACACAATTGCATTTGAAAACCTCTTGAGGCGTGTTATTTGCGAAACACATTCGATTTAACAGCAACAAACTTTAAAAAACAGCCATCCCAACTGTGCCTCTTCCTGGTACAGACATAATGGACAGCCATCATACAAAATTTGCATTTAAAAGTATGGGATTATTTAATATATTTTTTTTATATATCTGATGTTTTAAAAGAAGTAAATATGATTCAATATATATATATATATATATATATATATAGACATATATATATATATATATATATATATATATATATATAGACATATAAACCGTCATTGTGCAGCCCAATCAATATACCAATAGTACTCCGTGTAGCCCGAAACGACGTTGTATAGCCATTAGATACAGCTGTAGGTGGCGCGCTGTAAGTAGTGTATCTGGAACAGGAATTCTAGATGTTCTACAGTTCTTGTGTAGCCCGACATCCGGCAACATTGCAAACACAAATTATTAGTAGAAAGGAACTCTTTAAATTAAATATAAAGCAGTGAGTGATGTTCAAACGCTGTAAGTTTGGTAACGCGACGTCATGACGCGTCATCAGCGTACTGAAGTAATTAAATTGTAAGGATTCTAATTGGTTAATTCTAATGGTTTTAATTTTTATACATATTTTTTCGATGTCGTTTAACCCTGAAACTTTTTTATTTTAATGACAAGAAAATCTGTTCTTGCATCTGCATAACTTGCTAATAAATAAACATGCAAAAATATCAAAGATATATGTTTATAGATTCCTTATTTAAAAATATAACCATGTTCACCATTTTCAAAAGTTAATAATAACCAAGACACAGGGTGTCAAAGTTAAATCTTCGTTTTTGATTTTATTAATTAACAAACAAACGTTTTTGCACGAAATTTAGTATTTGGGGTTTTTCAAGGACCGATGTAGATTCTTGTAGGAGCTGTCACATCTTTTTGAGTCTTAATGTATACGTTCTAAATAAAATTATTATTTTTATATTTATTGCGGAAAAAAAGTACAACTTGTAAACAATGTTTCGAGTTTTCAATATGACATAATATAAATAAAAACTATTTAAAAACAAAATATTGACAATGACGAAGACACTTTGCATACGGTCACATCTTTTTGCGTCTTAATATATACGTTCTAAATAAAATTACTATTTTTATATATATTGCGGAAAATAGGTACAGCTTGTAAACAATGTTTCGAGTTTTCAATATGTCGTGTAATATAAATAAAAACTATTTAAAAACAAAATATTGACAATGACGAAGATCGACAGTAAGTAAATTTGTAGCGAGTTTTGAATTCTTAATTTGTTAAATTAAAACAGTTGAACTTTTTAATTAATTTATTTTTAACAATGTATTCACAACAACAATTAAAAGAGAAGTGCCGGTATAATGTGTAGTTCCGCGGGAGGTAAGCTTGGTTGCCTAGTCAGCAGACGTAACTCCTCCCTCCTTAGCTCGAAGAGCGGATTCCAAATCCTTGAGGGTAGGTCTCTGGAGAAACAGAAGATGACTAAGGCGTTTCTTTTTCCAGATTAATACTACTTCAAGAATTATAGTTAGTATTGCAATAATTATTGTTATAACCCAAAATGTGTAATGGATTTCCTTTTGCAAGTGGATGTCCTCTAATGGCTTCAAATCCAGTTCTGGAGGGATATGAATTTCGTTTAGTTCAGCTGTTCGGGTGGCAATTAGGGTCAAATAAGTGGTATCCTAAGCGATACTTTAGTGCTGTTGATGGAGTATCTTTCTTCATCGATGGTTACGTCACAGGGGCTTGACACGACTATGGATCTGCATTCGGGAACAATGGTGTGTCCTGTACATATTTCTTGGATGGAAGTTGATTTGTACACCAACATTTCGTTTGACTGAAGTTGATATCTGATCGGGTGATGGACGGATGCAGCTAGACAATTTTCTGGTTTTATAAGGGAACATTTAGAAAATATTTCCCCGGTGCAAATAAAACCGTTTGTTCCTTCATGACAATTT